GGGTGACGCGGCAAATTTAAATTCAGCCTTCCCTTACCCGCGGGTAACACGTACGGCCCCGTGAAATTTTTTCACGGGTAAATTAGTATCTCAGGAACCGCGGAGTCTAGAAGGCTGAAATTTTAGGGTAATGACCCTCTGCCCACGCTCAATCTTATCCATTCAAATTCAGCATTCCCGTGATTTTGGGTATCACTTATAGGCTAGTGAAAGTTTTTACGGCAAATTATTATCTCGGGAACCACGGGGTCTAGGGAGCTGAAATTTTAGGGTAATGACCCCCTGCCCCCAGGGTAACTCAATCTTGCCCATTTAAATTTAGCGTTCCCTCTCTGTTGAGTATCACCTGCGGCCTCGTGAGAATTTTGGCGGTTAAACTATTAACTCGGGGATCACGGCACGATATTCGTCCTTCAAGGTTTCGAATTTAGCTTTCATGCGCTGGTGCGTGAAATTTTTAATTATTTTCCAGTGCTTGAACTATTTTTGCATAGACAAAAGTACAAAGCAGTGATAATCATTAATAGGCAATCGTTCGGTGCGCTGAATTGCACAAAACGCATGATCGCACCGGCTTGTCTGGTGCGCGTTGCTGTTTGTTCTTTTTTGTTGCATATGTGGTAAATATCAGTATTATGGGTTCCAGGAGGGGGTGCTACTACTACAATGGACGTGAAACGTATGCTTGCTCAGTTACCGCCGCCACCTCCACCACCACCGCTTTTGCCTTGTCCCAGCAAACCACCACATCAGCAACAACAACAGCAGCAGCAGCATCAGCAACACCGGCAGCAATCATCATTGAATCCAGCATGGGAAGGGAGCACTGCGGGGACCCCGGAGAGTGCATCATCATCAGGATTGACCCCACTGACATCCCGCTCCAATGATTCGCCATGTTCGATGCGATCCCCACCTTCTGTCTCCCAGCAGCAGCAGCAACTGCAGCAGCAACTGCAGCATCAACAGCAGCACCAGTGTTCACCAGCAACACCGATGGAGCATGCCGGGTTAGACGAGAGCCCGTCCTCCTCCACTTCCTGTGTACCCATCACGAAATTGGACTCAGAACGCATCAAAGAAATGGCTTCGGC